AAATAATCATATACTTTAGTATTATTATTAAGTACAGCATCAACAAGTGGAGTTTGACCTTCAGGCCCAGGTGCATTTGAATTAGCACCTGATTGTAAAAGAAGACGTGCTGCCTTAAATTGATTTTTAGTCACAGCTAAAGACGAAACAAAAAAAGAAAAAACATATTATTATTCAGTAGTTTCCTAAGTGCATATTTTTATTAAAATTATTAATAGAAATTTTATTTTATATCAAGAAGAGCTTTTGAATTACTGAGCTAAATTCTAAGATCTTATAGACTTAGTAAGTCAATGAATTAATATATTCATTGACTATGACAAGATTAAAGATTTTATATTAGTAAACAAAGACTTCGAATGTCATACAGCATTATCAGGAATATGAAATTATTTTTAGATTAATAGTCATACTTTGAATATTCTCACATAGCATAAAAGATTTTACTTTTTGATAGCAAAAACCGCACATCACTATCTTGATATTGACAGAAAACATTCCGAAGCGATAAAATTCATCGATTTAAAGTAGATTAATTCTATGAATCTTACCTTCATGTAATGGTGTCCAACCTATAATAGAAAACGATAACATTCATATTCAAAGAAAAAATCTATTATATATTGAATTATATTACCAGCATTATCGGCTTCATTAACATTAGCTCCAGCTTTGAGAACTTTTCTTAATTGTTTTAAATCTCCTTTTCTTGCAGTAATATGAACAATTGTTTCTCCATGTTCATTACGTCGATTAATTTTTGATGGACGTGGTTGTGGAGTCAACGATGAAGGTGATTGTGATCCAGCTATATATATATATAGATTTATGATGTATTTACAATAATAAAAATACTTCAACAAGAATTAAAAAAAAAAACAAACAAACAAACATACTATTCGATTCTTCACCAGCTGTTAATTGTTTAAGTACAGCCATTTGTTGTCGTTCACTTACAATGAGACGATGTGAAGCAAAATCAGCTGCAACAGAACCACGTCGTTTATTTGATAATTGACTTGTTGAACTTGTTAATTGTTCTAAACCATAATAAATTAATAAAATAATAAACAAATATTCAAATATCTTTTACCATTAGTATCATCATCGGATTCATTTGGTGAACTAGTTGTTTGATAACGTCGTTTTTTACTAGTCGTGGACATTGTTTAATAATTCATTATTTTATAACTTTATTTAGATTAAGTGGAATTTTTTTTTTTTTTAAAAACGAAAAAAAAAAAAAAAAAAAAAAAGTTCATTGATTGGCAGATATTTTTTTCATTGGTGAAAATATTCTTACAATCAGATATTAATATGTTATTATTCAATATATTAAATAATAAAAAAATATATCAAAAATAAGTTTTCTTTTAGAAAAAAATTTCATTAAATAAATAAATTTTTACTTTATATAAATACAAAATAGATGTCACTTTAGAATAAACTTTGATTGATGTCATAAAATTTCTCTTCTTCTATATTATTTTGTCTTGTCTGATTAAAAACTAGAAAATAAAAACAATTTCAATGCACGATAATCTTCAAAGAAGATCAATGCTTAATAATAATACTCAACAGACAACATCTGTTGAAACTGGAGTACCAAGTGTAGGATCAATTGTAAGTATTTATCTTATTTATTAATATTATTTTGTAAATTAAATTAAATTCTAGGTTTGGTCTGCTGGACGTACACGTGCTCAACAAGCAATAAATCTTTATGCTAATATTGATTATCTTCGTCCATATTTTGATGTTGAACCAAAAGAAATATTACATAGGTAATAAAAGATTTATTTATATTTTTATTGATTTAATAATCAATATTAAATTTAGATTACTTCATGTTTTAATTCCTCGATGGCCGTCACCAGATGAAGTATGAAGAAATTATTCTTTTTTTTTCTTTTAATTTTTATAAATATTATTTAAACATATATATTTTAGAATATTAAACCAGAATTATATGGACCAACAATGATTGTTTTTACTTTAGCAGCAATTTTAATTTATCAAATGAAATTAGCAAGTCATTCTGTAGTAAGTAATTTACCTCTTTTTCATAACATTATTTCTGCTCTTTTGTTTCGGATTATACAATCAAAATTTATCAATATTTAATACATAATATTATAGTTATTGAAATATTTTATCTATCGCATATAATTGATCGTGTTCCGAAATAGATTTTATATTACATTGAATTTTGTTTTTTCTTCTAATTAATAATAGAATGTTTTCAAAAGAAGAATACTTTTATTTATTAACTTTTTTCATAGCTTGATCTATTGAACAAGGAATCGATTCGAAAAATGCATAAAGAATTATATTTTCTAAGGAATTAATTTTTTTTTGGATTCTTCTGTATAATTAATAACTACTAAAGATGAGATAGATACGCAGTATCAATAAAGAACAGAGAGACAGAAAGGTATTTAGTCTTTATTCAAAAGCATAGTTTCGTTTCCGAAATGAAGCATATACCTGTGTCAAAATTCTTAATGGGTTATGTTGTGTTGAAGAGAGCCTAGTCATAGTTTTTCTTAGAAACACTCATCCATGAATAGAGTGTGTCGAATTCGTCACGAATCCAAAAATTTTGATACCTACGGATCACTTTTCTCAACAGATATTTTGACTTGCCATATTTGTGCAAGTTATTTATTATCGTTATGAGAGGTTTCAATTGACTGAACCAAGCCAAAGAAAGTCTGTTCGAGAGTTATTGAGACATCTGATTTGTATTATCAATATAACAAAAACCTGTTTTATTAGTTATTACTGAAGTCTAAATTTATTGCTCATCTTATTTAGATCTATTTTTGAATTTTTGTTTTTCAGCAAGATGGTACATTGATTGGTACAAGTTTTCTTATTTGTTTTGGTTATTGGATTGGTTCAAGTTTTGCAATTTCATCAGTTTCATTTATTTGTAATACACATCTGAGTTTAATGCAAATTCTTAATATAAATGTTCGTAAAACAAAGAATAATTTAGTAACTATCCTAAAAAAAAATGTAATTGATATTTTTTTTAGGGTTATGCTCTATTCAGCCATTGTCTTGTTCTCTTTCTTGCTACATTTATTCATACAGGTCATGATCATTTGTTATTTTATGGTCTTTGGTGTATTGTTGGTGGTATGGCTGCAGTTAGAATGGTATATTTATAAAATTTGAAAATAATAGAAAATAATTTAATTGAATCTTAATGTTTGTATATAATAGATGTTTATTATTATGGCACGAACAATTAATCCACGTTATCGTATACTTCTTGGACTTTTTGTTGGTGCAATTCATATGTTCTTTTTACTTTATCTTCATTTTGCTTATCATGAATTAGCTGAATGTATGTTTTAAATACAAAATTTAGATTTCTTTCTATATATAAATTTTAGCTGTATCTCATGCATTAAATAATGAAGCAACTATGCCGATTGGTTTACCTGTCAAACCTGTTTTACCACTTGCTTCTCCAATGGTTGATGTAGTATCAAAATTAAATAGTAATTTGTTTTTCTTTTATTTTCATAGATAAATAATACTTATTTGTAATAGCTATTTAATCTTTCTTTTTCTTTTTTATTTAGATCGAGTAATGGCACGAAATAATTGAAGAAATAATATATTCTTTTGATACTACAAGAAGTAATCTCGTCAATTGATGGTATATAGTTTCTTTATTGACTATTTATTCTTTTCCTTTTTTTTTTTGATATTCTGCTTAAATTCGCTTGAAAAACTTTGTCTATTTGTTGGCTTGTTTGTTTTTTTTTTATATCCCAATAAAGACCTTTTTCATATGATTGAGTTGTCTCTTTGAAAATAATTCAATTTTTAATTTTTATTATTATAAGATTTCATTTTCTTTGAATATTAATATATTGTTTAACGAATGATGGAAAAGAAATTTGATTGACAATCTTTACTGAAGGTTATGAAAACTTTAGAATTAAAGACCTTCGAAAAAACTTTTCGTAAATTCGGTCTCTGTTTTTGTTTTATTCGAAATATATTTTTATTAGAGGCTAAACATTAGATAGTATAATTAAAAATTGAATTTTAGTTTTCGGATGTAAAAAAAAGTTTTTTTCTAAATCGTGAACTCTTGTTAGATGACAAAAACTTTTGATCTTATATTTTATCTACAATTACAGAATGTCTAAATTAGAAATGCCCAAGAGAATAAGGATACAAGTCTAAATTAGGCTATGTAGTTTGCCTATAGAATTTCAAAATTTCCAGACAAATTATCGCTGAAATACCAGCATGTTAGCAGAAAAATTTCTTTCATATAATTCTTATCTGAAAGACTATTTGTTCTACAGTGCTGAAATGAAAAAATGGAGCACTATAGGAAATCTACAAAAAGTCGATTTTTCAGTTAAGTCCCAACTTGTATTCATATCCACTGGAGTGTTGTCTAGTTTATACATATCTGCTTATGGGTACAAAATTATCAAAAATCCACGATATCAGATAATGGTTAGAAAAACATATTTCACAATGCCTTTTGTTCTACGAATTTTCTAACCTTTAAAAAAAAAACGTTTTCCATTAAAGCTTTTTATAGTCTTTGTATTCCAGATATGCTACTCTTTTCAGCAAAAAAAAAAATTATGAAGTCTACACAATATTGTATAGTAACACTGCATCAAAACAGAATTAATGCTGAACTTTTGTTTCGTTTCTTAGCATATAAATTCTTCCTTTACATTCAAGTACAATGAGCCACTTTTGTATGGAAAAATTCTATGAAAGGTTTCTGTTTATCTACTTCTTCATGTTCTTTGTGAACTGACATAAATAAATAAGAGATCTATGTTGATAAAAATTTTTAATAAAGAAACCAAAACGCAATAATCTAAATACATCTAAGATAATTTTCAATATTAGTCTTGTATTTTTTTTTGTACTTGTGACAGTTTTAATTTATTAACTTAATAATTCAATATCAGTTTTTATAACAAAACAAAAAAATCTTTTTGTTTTTTTCAAAGTGTCGGTGAACTATAAATATGTTCATTTTCATTTGTTTCTTTTTCTCTATGTAATTTTTTAATACGATAATGATCAAATGTATCATGAATATTAGTATCACCACCAGATGTTGTTGATGATGTATGCATTGATAAATTATATATATTTTTTATTCTAATATTATCATTATCATTTATTGTTGGTAATGATTCTTGAAGTATCATACATTGTGAATTTGTTGCTGTTTTTATTTGATTTTTATGTTTCCAAAAACAACAATAATAAAAAAATGCTTTTCGTTCAATCATAAAAAAAACCATTATAGAAAAAGCAAAACCTTGAAATGCATTAATAATACAAAATAAGATATTTCCAAATAATTGTACATATGTATTTGGTATAAGTACAAGAAAACCTAATATCCAACTAAAACCCATAATAATAGCAAAAAAAAGTCCAATTTTAAAATTTTGTATACGTCGTGAATATTCAGATTTTGTTGAACGTAAACCTATTTGTTGACGATTTCTTCCACATAAATAAATCATTGTATACAAATAAAAAATTATATTTAAACAAATAATTATTAATATTGGTATAATTAAACCATATATGAGAAATTCACGTGATAACCAACAATAATTACATGTTGATGATATAAATGTTAAATTTTCATATTTAATAAACATAATTAATAATGGAAGAATAGGTATTGAAAAAGTTAATATTAAATAAATAATAAATAATGTTCGATTAGACCATTGTGATTGAAATATATTTGTTAGAAATAAACTTTGTTGAAAAGCAAATAAAAATTTCCATATAAAAGCTGTTAATGTAAAATAATAAAGTAATGCTGATAGTATTGCACAACCAAATTTTCGATTGGGTTTAACAAATGTAAGAATAAATATAAGAATATTCATTAGAATTAATAAAATACATAAGATAAATAGCATTGATTTTACTATGGATAGATGACGTGGTTTATTCTATACAAAACAAAAATAAATGATATTTATAAAGTTGAACTTGAAAATTCGTTAGTCAAAAAAAGACAAGATATTGTTAAGAAAAATGTTGTTACAGCATTGATTCGATTAATATCTGTGGTAGTTGACATATATATATTTAAGTTAAATAGAGAAAGAAGAAATGATATATTCAGATATTGAATATATTTAGTAAATGTCAAGAAAAAAGTTCGATAGAAGTTCTTTTAGAATATATTAATTTTTTCTTGTGCAAATGTGTTTCTTCTTAAAGGAGTCTGTAAAAATTCGAAAACATTAGATTAGAATCAGAATTCTGTATTTTTGTCGAATATAGCTTTATTATTTTTAGTTTAGAAATTATGAACCGATTTATATTTACTATAAGTTATTGGTTAACAGTGAATATTACGGGAAGCCACACCGTGCCAATTCAGACAATTTTCTCGATTTCTACAGATAATAGATTTTCAAAACGAACTCAGTCATTCCTGAATGATTGTCCTGAAACTCTCGACTCTAAAATCACTTTTTTAGACCACGATGTTGTTGTTCATTCGATGCAAAAAAATATTGGTGATAGAACGTAAGCAATAAAAGAAACTACTGTTTAATGTTTTCTATTTAAATTTAATATCCATGCCTCTAAAACATCGATCAGTCAATCGTTAATCAAAAATTCTAGAGAAATTTTAAACTTAAATTCGAAAATAATACAAAATTTTAATTCAAAATCAATGCTTTCAAAATTCTTCAGAAGCTGAAAAATGAACGAACATGTGGTTCTCTACTGTCTGTTGATTGTTATTATTATTTGATGCCGAATTCTAAAAGAGTCTACTTCACTTAGTATCTGTTTTGATGGTTACAGATCATCAATAAATTTTCAATTTTTTTTCTATAATATATTAATCTCGATATTTTTTTCTTACGTTAAATAATAGTTTTTCTATTAAAAAACAAAGAAAAGTTTCTATACCATAATTCTTCGTCGTAATTCTTGACTTGAACTAGTATTTGATGATGATAATCCATGACTAGAATTTTCTGTTCGTCGATATAGACTAATAAAAATAAACATAAGAAGTGTTATAGAAAGACCAATAATTGAAAGAACACATCCGATCCAACTTAAAATTTCAACAGCTTTTGATGGATTTGCACATGTTAATGAAAAAAATACTGTAAACATTGTTAAATGTGTACATGTACATGTAACTGATGTACTATTTGATAATTGACGATCTGTTAAACAACCATCAGTTTGCCATATCATACTAGTTGTATTTAAATACATACAAACACCTTCGGAAATCATTAAATCAAGTTGATCATAAAATGGATCTATTGTTGTTGAATTTGTTGTATTTATTGAATATTCAAATGTATCATTTGATGAAATTTTTTGATCAAAATAAAATGTAACATATTGATTTTGATTCGGTGCTACTATTGAAATAACATCATATTCAGGTATTCTATTTGTTGTACAAAATAATTTCTGTGATTTAATGGATGTTATTGAATAACGGTTTGAACAATTATTTAATGGTTTTCTAGAAAATGAAAAATAATTCGAAAATTTTTCTATCAATCATACTTAGTTTACATAACTTACGATATATTACAATTTAATTTATATGGTTTATTAGTATTAAATTTAAGGAAAACACGTGACGTGACATTTTTATCAATCGATTGAATATCTGTAATATTTGATGTTATTATATTATTATTGGTTATTTGCCAACCAAATATTTCTTGTGGTTGCTCGTCTGTTGGAAAACGTAGACTAATTGTTGATAATGGTTCACTTTGAAATTTAAACATTGGTTCATCATCATTAATATATTGAACTGATCTATCTAAAGAAAATAATAATTGTTGCCAAATTATGGGTGTTGTTGGTGATGGTAGTGCTGTTGGTAATTGTAACGTATAAACATCCGGTGCCCATGGACGATTAAGCATTTGAGCAAATGTTTCATGAAACATTTGTGCATCATATGAAGAATGTTGCGTAAGATTTTGATTCGAATTAATTAACATTGTTGCGACTGAATGAAAGTCATGTGAATCTAGAGTTTTATTTGAATTTGTACTTAGATATTCTTGACTTTTCTGGAAAAGAGATTGTTCTGTATAAGGTTTTATTGATATAGGAGTATGAATATTGTCATAATAATATCTTGATAATGATAAACAATTTGGTTCTGAATCATATGCTTCTGTACATAATGTTTGATCAGAGCATTGATAAGATAAACATTTATTGCAGAAAAAATTTTCTTGATTTCGTATTTGATATTCTTTTCCATTTAATTGACAATAATCATTAATATACTCAATACTATTATCTGAATTTGGACATTGAAATATATTATTATAACGTTGAATTGTTGTTAAAAATGAAATAAATTGACAACTACATGTTTGTGTTAAACGAAAGGTTAATATCCATTGAGGTAATATATCTTCACAAGATAATACATTAAAAATTTGATTTGTTGCTGAATGAATTTCGTCACCAACATAAATATAACGTAATTTTGGTAAACCTATTATTTCTTGTTGAAAATCATACCAAGAAAATTGTTGAATATTTACCATTGTAATGGATTCAAGAACAACTAATCTATTCAATGTATTATTTAATGTTACAAGATAACATGAATCAATATAAAGTGTGCGTAATGATAAATTTATTAATGATGATGAAAATGTTTCATTTGTAATTAATAATCTTGTTATTTCTTTAGTATAAGTATATAATATATACATATGTTTTATTGTATATGATGATAATGATGCTCCATCAATAACAAGATATTTTTCATGATTAACAGAATGTAGTCGTAAATAATCAATACTTTTTCCATTGATTGATGGAAGATTTAAATGATTAGAAGAAAATTTACAATTAATTAGTGTTATATTAATAACACGTATATTTATAGAAGAAAATGGAAGTGAACGTGAATCTTTTAAGTGTGGTGCACATGATAATAAATTCAATATTTGATCATATGAACAAAAACAATCAGAATCATTTAAACGAAAAGCTTTGATACTCATGGAAGCTATTAATGGCCAAGACGTTGTAATTCTTGTGAGATCATATGGTTTAGTTGGAGGATATACTGAAAAAGTTGTGATTGAATCATCATACCGAAGAATACTTGCCATGTTTTGCTTTTCTAATACCTGTCTTCTTACACCAACCTGTGTTGTTATAGATGAAGTATCAGCAAAACTTATATTTAAATGATAGATTAAAATAATAACGAATAGAGATATCGAGTAAGTCATCATCATATTGATGTGAATGTTTGATAGAAACACTATGGTCTTAATATAATCCGAAATTCTATTGATTAATATTCTACACAGACAAAAAACCCTTTTTAACTTGAACAATGATCTCCAAACAGAAACAAACTATTTATTCGTGAGTTGATTTTGCAATAAATATTGGAAGCAAAACAAAAAAATACATGCATAGTATGTACTTATATTTTTCATCTTTGTATTCATCTCCTAAATGTCATAATCCATTTATTTAATGGAAAAAAAATGAATGTGAAATAAAGTACTATTGATGACTTCGAATAAGACATATTATTTCAAGAAAAGAATAACAAGCATTAATAAGTTTTCAATTGACGTATAAAATTCTAATCAATATAGAAAACAATTTTTCTATCTATGAAAAATGCTATGTCATTTATTAAACTTTTCTTTTCAAATCATATAAATTGTTCGACATGTTTGTGTTTCTTCTTTTTTTTTTTCAAATGAATGTTGTCAAGTAGATGCAACAGAATGTTATTTAAAAAAAATTTTTTCTTTTTGTTTATTTGAATGGAAAAGAAAATCAGCATGACACCTTCAGTTTCAATGCATTAAAGAAGTCAATAGAATTCTTCATTCTTCGACCAAGAACGAGAAAAAGTAAAAACGCTCTGCATTTACATTGTTGTAATACATTGAAATCAATGCCATGGCTGTTACTTATCCAAGTGAGATACGATGAAAAATTTATAAATATTTTCTGTAAATTTCTTTTTTTTGTTGTTTTGTGTTAGCGGATTATCCTTTTTATGTCGATGATGAAGGATGGCCAGAGAAAGTTTATACTCCACCATATCCTCATGAATATTATTATGATAATGAACAAAATTCTAATGAAAATAATTCAACTAGAACTCGAACATTACAAAATCCATCCAAATTTAACAATGTTCACCATCATCGAATAAATTCCAGTGAATTACTTCCATTACCAATACGTCGTCATACTCCAGGTTCTACTGATCCAACATTACAACATACATCATCTCGAATTCATTCATCAACATCCAATGCATATATTCCACTTAAACGAGAGTCATCACAATCTAATCTTTATACGATATCTAATCAAAATCATTCATCAAAATCTTTAGATCCTGATGAACGACCTATTAAACCAATGAAAGATACATCTGTTTATAATAAATCATCATTACCAGAAAAATTTACTCAACCGATAAAAAAACCTTTATCACGACCAAAATTAATACAATCTTCACCTCGATTGGAATCGAATTCATTTCAATTACCACCATCACGTATACAAAATACTAGCACAACACCTCGTCGTCCTATTCGTCTTGATGTAATTCCAAAAACACCAATTAGTTTTCCATCACAACCTATTCAAACTCGTCGAATTATAGTAGAAGATTATGTTGATAATAATAATCGTTTCGCATCATATGTTAAGCCTGTTCCAAAAAAAATTGTTGCATATCAAGAAGTATCAGGTATGACCACACGTGAAATGGAAAATTATCTTATGTCAAAAGATCAACGTGTTACTCGTATTCGACCACCACCAATAAAAACAGTAATCTATCGGCCTTAAATGAAAGAAGTCATGTTTTTTTATTTGTTATATCTCTATTATTTTAAAGATAATCTCATAGTGTATTAAATTAGTTACAATGATAAAGAAATTTTTATATAAATTTGGAACAATTTAATAGTCGAGCATATATTACCATCAGTGTTCTTATATTTTTTTATGTTGTCCGTCATTATGGGAGTATCATTAAATGCAATTGTTTTTTGAAACATACTCTTGAATGTTTTCTAGAAACTTACGAGAGAATATATCCAAGTGTTGGATATCCTTCAACTTTATACTATGGCTACGAGTAGGTCTCTATGAGACTCAAAAGGAATCGGACCTATGGCCTAAAATTGAAGAGTTATAGTCGTTGTAATAAAACTTTTACTAAGAGTAAAGCATTTGCGAAAAAAAATCGAAAAACTTTGACCTAAAATTTTTTGCTAATGGACTGATTTAATAGTCATTAGATAGTCCTGATGAACATGTCTATCTCAAAAAATTCAAGTTCAACAAAAATTGTGTATATATCGAGAAAGACATGTTTTCTTTATGTGAAGTCTTTCCACAGTATTTAATGACTAGTAACTCTGTCTATAGACAAAACTTCAGGTCAAAAATTTTTGTTTTAGATTTTTTGAAAGTATTTTACTTTAATTACAAACTTCATTCATACAGTATTAGCTCTTCATCAGTAGGTGACTTGTATGAATCCTTTGAAGGTTTTTGAAGCCTCATACGTATCTAGTCATAGCCATAATATGCAGTCAAATGGCATCCAATAATCTTATATGTTCGCTCATTCGTTTACATCATACATTAATCCGATATAGTAGAAAAAATTTAACATATCAAAAATTTTTACTCATTGAATAATATGTCTATAATATTTTTTCTTTTAATGAGAAATAATTTTTAGTCGATATATATATATAAACGGATAATCTTTTCAATATTCTATGAATTCGCTTACCAAAATAATCATTAACTTATCTTGGTCAGTTAAATCATATTATGTTCTAATAGAAGCTTTCAACAACTTTCATATGCATTTAAAATCTTCGAAATCGATTGGTACTATAATCGAAAATCTAAGAATACCAACAAACTTAAATCCAAACAGATTTTATTTTTTATTTTATCTGTTCTCTAGACTAAAAGGATAGGGTCTAGAAGCGGTAATCCACTTGTGTCTGTCTACCATATGGTAACTATGGTTCGAATGATTCTCTGCTTTCTACGGCTACAATACTAAATAAGGCTGTGTAGGATAACGAAAAGAGCATCCACACGTTAAGATTCAAATTAACCAAGTAGTAACGTACTAGAATTAAGAAGTTGAAATTCTTATACATTCTGTGTTTCACTATTTACAAACTTCGTAAAAGATCGCGTTTCTCAGTATCATATACGAAGAAATGCAATCATGACATTGAGTAACGTAATATACTAATTTAAAGTCATTTACAAATGTACTTATTCGACTTGAGATGTCTTTAAAAGTTATGATATTGTTATTAAACTATTGTTCGATCGATTGTTGAATGCAGTTTGCATGAGAATATGATGTAATAGTTATTAAGAGGGGAGAAGTAAGTCTGAACATATTTTTATGATAAAATAAAATAAAATAATTTAAATAGTGTATAATTAATTTTTCTCTTGTAATATAAATAAACATAATATAATCAATTGTAAATAATTGTATTGATTTTTCTTATGTTAATAAATGTATGCATACATCTTTATGATCACATATCATTCCAAAAAAATCATCTGAAATTTAAAATAAAATTTCAAAGCCAGTGTTAAAGAACTCCAAGGAATACGGTTACGACAATGCATCAATAAAAAAAAAACATTTCGAATCAACTCCTAATTCGTTTGTGCATACTTCTTATGATGCTATTATGATCTGTCATAGCACATAGATCGTTAATCTGTTACACTACCACTAGCATTGTGAAGGTGTAGATGTACACTCACTAATACTTTCAAGACTAGCATACTCTAAAATGATGTTCGACATTTGCTGATAGCAATAACGTTTATATCTAGATACACTTATATACATATTTCTATCCCATCTGTTTGGAGTCAAGTGAATCGAGTCTTGATGAACATGACTTATCTTTTACTAAAGAAATAATTTAGAAAAACAATTCATTCTTTTGAATTCTACAATGTATCTTTAGTCTTTTTTAAAATAATTTATTAAAAATACAAAATTTAAATGCATCCTATTCAAATGATAAAACAAAGTTTTTTAGTTTCATTTTAATTTATTCCCCATTAACAAAAAAAGAAATTAATATACATAAGAATCACATAATAATTAATTATAATATGCATTATTAACTTTTTTTATTGATGAGATTTTATGTGTTTTTTTCTTTTTAGAATTTTCATTATCATATATATCATCATTAACATCTTCTAATTGTATGTCATCCATTGTATTATCACTACTTTTTATTGTGTTTCTTTTTGTTTTAGAATTTGTATTTGTTGAATTATTTTGATTTTTTTTGAAACGATGTTTTCCCGTTATATCAGTATGTGATTTAATAACTATGTCTGAATTGGATTGACCTGGATATGGTTCAACTATAATTGTACGACGAACAACAGGAATTTGTTCAAGACGATTATCTTGAATATCTAATAGAAAAGAGAAGAAAAAAAAGTCGATTTACTCAATGATATATAAATACTTGGTATATCTTCTAAACCAGTATCATGATAGATTTCTTTATTTGTTTTTGTTGGTGTACGTGTATGTGTTTTTGAAGCTTGTACTGTAATTGCATTAGGTTTTGATCCAGAATATTGTTCTTGATAATGACGAGAATGATAATTAATATCACTATAGAGATCAATAGATGAACAACTTGAACATGTTGAACATGATGAAGAAGCATGATGACGATGTTGTCGACGGTGATGACGTGAAGGATGTCTATGGTGATCAGAACTGATTACGGTTGAACTTTCAGTTTCACCATCGAATAGTTTTATTCGATTAGATTTTTTTGTTTTTGAAATACCATTCGGTAAATTTTTTTTAATATGTTTTTCTTGATCAATGATTGTTCTTACCTAGAAAAAAACGAAGGATATTTCAGAGTAGAAATTATTCATTCATTTTCTTCTAATTAGATTAATTGATAATGTGAAATATTATTAATTAACTGTCCAAATAGTGTTTCTTCTTGAATTATCATTTGTCGTAATACATCTTCTCACTAATGTATTGAGATATGAAATATGATATTCTTATGAGAAGGATGTAATTATAATTTAGAATTTTTTTGGTTGCTCTCTCTTCTTTTTTTCTCTCATAGAAATGAGTAATAAAACAAATGTAACAATCTTTATTACATAGTTTAATTCATACTTACAAGATCATGTGTTTCCGGTGCTTTAGTTAATACTGGTAATGGTGCTTCTGTAACAGTTGAATTCGGAAAAAGATTATCAAATTTAGCTTTTGGTGGATTAGCTACAACTGTTTTCTTATTATAATGATCATTAATTTTATTTTCAGCTATAAAAATAAAAATAAATAATGAAGATATATATATATTTATTATATATTCACAATTATTACTTGTAATCGATGAAGATGTAGGTGCTGGTGTTAATGATGTTGGTTTGACTAATGGTGTTCCATATGACCATTCCATAGGTTGAAGAAATTTCGAATCTGGTTGTGTTTCAATTTCAACATTGGATGGCCAAACAACTGGTTCATAAAAAGCAGCACCTGTTGCTGCACCTGGTTGTTGTAATAACATTTGTTCATTAGCATTTGAAACATATGGTGGATTAGAGTAGTAGTCATATGGTGTATAATCAATTTGTGGTTGTTGATATGTATAACCATATGTTTCATTATTTTCCATAGATGATTTTAAATGTCTTGATGAATCATTATGTTTATTTGATTTTTCAATAATTTGTGTTGGATTTTCTTGACGATATTTTTGATGCCATAAACCAATTAAAATTAACTGTAAACCAAGATAAAATGCAAATGCACATATACACATACCAGTTAATTTACCAGTATTTGATGAACTATCAGGATAACCTTTACGAAAAAAAAAAAACATTTAGTAATAGATTTTTCTTTTTTGTTAAAGATAATTTATTTACTTTGAGCATAAAATATACCAGTCATAATTAAGAAAACACCTGCAAGTATAGTAAATATTGCCATACCAATATAGAAAACAAAAGCACCTTTACGTGTTAAACCAAATGGACCATCATAAGTATCTTTATTATATTTTATAGGCTAATTAAAAAAAAAAAACATGAAACTTAATTCATTTTAAAAATATAAAAATTCTCTTACTTCAATAGTAACAACACCTTCATTATCAATTAAAACTTCTTTTTTCCAATAATCATCAATTGGTTGTTGATTTTCAACATAACTTATAGGATATTGTTTCATAGGCTCATAAGGTTGTATTTTATTTGTTAAATTTCCATTCAAATAATTATATGGAAGAGGTTGTTGTATTTGATTGATTTGATTAACTTTTGTTGTTTGTTGTAAATTATCATCAAGATTAGTTGTTGGTATTATTTTAGGTGATCGAACAACAGCTTGTTTAATAACATTATCATCAACAATTAATCTTGGAATATTTCTTGCAGCTGGATCACGTAAAAGATTTTTTTTTGGATCAATTTTAAGCGATCGTGTTATATCAACATCAGGTAAGCCTTGATCTATAACAACATTATGTGCTATATTAGTAACTGATTGTTTTGTATTGATGGGTGTTTTTTTAGTTTTTGTTTCATTTTTATTTTCAATATATGTTGAAACTCGTGTTGATGAACCAATACCATTATCAATAGATGTTGTTATTGGTAAACGTGATGAAGGAGATTTTAATGGATCATCTGGACGACTTTCAAGAAATTCTGGATAATAATATTCAGCTGGATAATTCAATGATGAATTTGATGTCATCTGAAAATTTTCGTTTTCTTTTATT